CATCTTAGCTGTAGAGGGCGCAGCGTCACTGGCCTTCATGTGGGATCTGAACCGGGGCCCTGCTGCTCAGAGCTGGCGTCCCAAGCCAACTCTTAATCAATGTGCCACTCAGCTGGCGCACCTGTTTTGCATTTTAAAAGCAGTTTTATTTATATAAAATTGTATTTATAAAGGCTCTGATCATTAAAAATGTGAAAATTCATAATGTTGATAAGTGGTCCTGAAATGGATTTTAAGTGTATTAAATGGATTTTAAAATTTGGCAGAAACTATCTTATACACTGAAGAGTATTTTATGCTTTTTTTTTTTTTTAAGGCAAATAGCTGGGTCTTTTTTTATCCCTAGATGTTAGAGTCTATTATGAATGATTACTGTTTCTTACTGGGTGATCTCTGGAGGGGATCACATAAACCTGTTTATGTGATTAAGTTCTGTACAAGATTAGATACAAATCTAGTTTGTGTTATTATAATATCACACTTTCTATATTATATTTCATTTCTGTAAGTCCACATCTCCACGTTCAGATGAACTTAAAAAGCTTTCCCATTGTTTCTGCTCAGACGACTATCACTCTCATAAGCAAGTTTAGTACTCCCTCTTGTGGCAGACTCGCTTTTAACGATAGATTGAAAGTTACGAAAAGAACGATTTTCATTATAGTTTAAGTAAATTGTTAAACTTTATGTGACTAGAAAACAAAGCTTAAACAGAGAACTGGAAGTATTCTTTTTTTTTTATTGACAATGGAGAGGGTTTCTGTTACCATTACCTTTTGACTGAATCTGTTAAACAAAAATAGACATCAAAACAAATGTAATGTACGTGCAAACAGCAAATTAAATACAGAAAGGAAATTACTGATGACAGGTCTTGCACTTAAGATCAAACAGCAGAAAATCAGCAGTTAGATAAATGGTATTATTAAATAGGTTTTACTTTGAAATCTCCCATATAAACAAGGAATGAACAACAGTAACACCACCAAATAAAGCCACAGGGAAGAGATTACTCTTCTATACTTTATACACTATATATGTTAATCATTCTGTCTTTCATTTATTTCCTCTGATAATATTGACTTCAGGGAAGTCGAAACAAGGCCATCTCGGCTAAAAGCTTATAACATTAGACATGAGTCTGGCTATTGCCCTGTTACACTGACAAAAGGGAAGGGTTTCAGGGGGCTTGTTTTTCTCCAGTGGAAACGAGCCTCCGACTCTGCTGCAGTGGTTGACGTTCATTGACCAGTGCTGGCTGGCTGTTCGAGATATTTGAATGAGCATGTGTTTCTTAGTAAAGAAGTTTTTTTTTTCTTTAAATTATTGGTCCACAGGTAACAAGAGAAGATAATGTTTTTTTTTCTTTATAAATTTTCTTTTAAAATAATTGCTTTGACGCTTGTAAACAGTTTGGCTTTGTTTTGTATTGAAAAGGAGATCGAGCCATCACAGTGCTATTTTCTAAAGATAGAGGACATCCCTGATTGCCTTTAGAGGTCTATTTTTGGCTCCAGTTCCAGGTTAAATCAATCTTTTTTTTTTACATGATCAGAGGCAGGTTTTCAGCTTTAAGTAAGTATTGACAGACTTTAAGGTGAAACGCGTGGAGGCATGAAACATGCTTCCAGGAAACATATCAATTGGACTGTTCTAATTCAAAAACTGTAAAAATGGTGGAATGGTAAAATACAAACAGGACTTGGAATTGTCAAATGTTTGCACTCAGGACTCCATGAACCATATATTTTATTTTTTTAAAAATCATATTTATATCCATTTACATAAGACTTACACATTTAAAAAGAAATACACAGTAATACATAAATGCCTATTATATTACAATAAAACATGAAAAAACAAGTGGCTCCATTTCAGAAAAGCATCTGTTGTACAGAATTTATGATGTGGATGATGCTTATTATTCAAATGACTTAAGCATTTTCTTTCGATTGTAGTAAACTAATCAAAATTAATATCTGACCCCCCCAATCACATTTTCAGCTTAATAAACCATTACTTGTGGTTATTTCCTTAGAATTCAGTCTTCACAAATGTGTTCACTGCTTGTCTTCTTAGATGGTAGTGCACTTTATGTAGGGTAGACTGAAAAGACGACATCTAGAATATTTAATTGACAGAGTTAGCTTACTCAAAGGTCCCATCCAGACTGAAAAATCCCCCTCTGCAACCCTTGGTGCACCCATGCAGCCTGCCTACCTCTGTCCTAAGAGAAATGAATAGGATATCATCTAGGATGTAACCAATAGCTGTATGTAGTGAACATTTGTTCTCTAATTTTGTGCAGGCGAGCTTAAGAAATAATATTAAATAATATTTGCTCAACTTTTTGGAAAATATGGCAATAATATAATAAAAGATAATCACAAAATGTGAGCAGTCCTTTTGAAAAATTTACAGCTTGCTCATTAATAAGCTGGGTGTAGTTGACCTATTCCATGGAATAGATTTGTATTCTAGTTCATATGTTTTAGAGCTCTTATAAAGATACCTTTGTTTAATTGGGACAAAAACATACTGATAACAAATAACATATTTTAAAGAATCGGTGTCAGTGATGTGGCTTCACTGATTCTTTCCTGTCATGATATGCTTAGGAAAAGTTCATAATTATTATTCCAAGCATAAAATAAATAATATGCTCTAAGTTATTTTAATAACAAATGTGCTGATGTTTCATCAAAAAACAAATTGTTTGTCCTAGATTAACTTACTGTCAATAAATACCTGCATCCCATTTAGTGGTAAAAGCTAGGAAATAGGAACTCCAATGCCATGCACAAAATACAGATTGCAAATCGTTAAAGAGTAATTCTACCCATCAGTCAAGAGCTAAGAAGCAAGCACTACTTAACATATTAAACAGTCATTTGTAAATTAGTGAAGTATTCAGTTCTGGGGTAATTATCATGTTATGTGTGGAAGTTATTACAAACAGTATTTTGGAAAACCTCTTATTTAGCCAAATTATTATATACTTTAGATCATGCCTAATTAGATGCCAAATTGCATGCCGTAATTAAAAATTTAATGTTAGGGTTTTATATTCTGAAATTAAATCTCTTATCTGAAAGCTTTTTGTTTTATCGTAGCAGCCTCAAATAGTGACCTAAATAAGGCAGCATACCAGCTCCTATATTGGGCCCCAAAGACCAGCAGTAAATCGTGTGGAACTTTTAGCTCAAGGCGATGAATAAACAGCACAAGACGAGCTGCTCCTCTGCCCATAACTGCTTCCTCTCCACTTCCCAGGGCACACATTTGTTTCTAATTATTGCTCTGGAAAGTATTTTTCCAAAATATCAATTTATCGTAAATGGTAGAATATTTTGGTAAAGCACAGTTTTAGGTTAAAAAGTGTTTTATGAGCACTTGACATGTATAATCTAGGAAACCACAGTTTTCCTAAGACTTCCAATTAAAAAAAAACGCCATTTGGAGATTTGGAAGTCAATACCATCAACTAGTATTTCTCTAAATATAAATGACTTATTCCTTACGTATCACAGTTTTGTTAGTCCTGTCTGCCATTCTCACAAAGTAATTTCACTTTGTTCCTATGCTATAAGCCCCAGATACTTAAAATTCATTTTTGTTTTCAACACATATAAATCACAGTGATGAAAAATAACGTATTAAAAGTTCAAATTTTTCAGTTACACTTTTGTGTTTAATATGAAATCACCTCCAAATCATTTTCTTCTGTGTGACTCTGTGTACCTACTAGAATCACTATCTGCCCATGTCAGCTTCTTCTCTATAAAATACTCATTAAACGTGTATTATTCTGTAAGTGCCAACCTCTCAGTACAATGCTCTGTGGGTCAGTATAAAATGCTATTCAAGGGTAGAAACAGTGCGGTAGCCAACCACTGATGTGTAATAAGATAGTGACAGGCCTCCAACAGATGGACCTTAAACCACAGCAGACAGACGGGACAGGAAATCCTACATTGAGTTAAAATATAAAGATTCCTTTCCACCCTCTAGCAACTTAAAGGGATTATCTCCCTTCTGTACTGCGAGGCCATCCCAAAGAGTAGTGTGTATATTTACGAGTCTATGTAGGTTCCATTTTTTTTGGTGCTTTGATTTCTGTCCGCCAAGGGGAACTACTCACAGCAAGTCAGTGCTGCATCCTTTGAGTGGCTTGTCAACATGAGTATGTACGAACAGTGGAGTTGTCTAACCTCTGCAGTCTGGATGAAGGAACTGCAAATGGAGAAAAGGGCTTTAGCGGGACTGGGATGACTGAGTACAAAATTTCAGATGAGAGAGATTCCTTTTCCCTGCGTGAAGGGATCCTGAACATATTAGTAGACCTTCTTTCTCTCAGATATAAGCCACTCACATTCCTTTTCTCTAGACCGAGTTACTAGTGAAATTTGATTCTAGTGTGATTCAAATGAGCTTTAGAGTTGTGTATTCCTGCTTAGATGAAATCTGTAACAAGGGCGGCTCTGTGTTTGAAGCAAAGCTTGCTCTTAGATATTTCAGTAGGGTGGATGTTTTCCCCTCTGAGTACTGAAGAGCTTCTACACTCATTTTAATCATGTTAAATTCCTAGTAAATTTTACTAATATGTTCCATCATATTAAGTTAGAAGAAATGTAGATCAAAAATCACAACTGATATCGGAACCAAGTATAAGGGCCATGATAACTGTAACCTTGAAAAGAAATAATGATTCAAGGTGATTATCTTAATAAAGAGAGTGGGGCTATGGTTTTCTTAATGCTCACCGAACAGAAATAACTTTGTGACTACCATTAGTAATTGCCTCTCCTTCAGAATGGCTATTTTCTTTTGTGACGTATATAATACAAGTCTAATGTCCACAGAAGGAAATACTAATTATGAAATTACTGTTGGTTTTGTGTTTGTTTCATTCTCTTCTCATGGTTGTGCTTGTTTATTTAAGGCCTTCTGCCTTGGTCAGAGGTGAGAATATCTGATGAGCCTGAGTGTTTCTAATATGAAATAGAAAACTTACAATATTCTAACATGTGGGGTGACAGTGGAGTTAATTTCCATTTAATAAGGACCCTTGGTCCAAATCCAACCTCTAACTAAACAAGTTAGTTACTTTAGGAATAGAAGAGTAAAGAAACACAAATCATGCAGATGTTTATTATTCTTCCTAGATGTGGACATTAGCCAAAACTGTCCTTTTTCAGCTATCATAAATCATTTTAAGAAATGTGAACAAAGTGCCATGGATTCATGCATTAGCAGTTTACAAAAGAGTCTGGTGTGATGAAAGCAAAGTAAACCTCAAGCAGAGCAAACCAAGTCAAGAAAACAATCAATCCCCGAAAGCTATGCAAGGTTAGAGAATGAAAACTAGCACTTGCTACACAAGCTTTTTCACTTTTTATAAGCAGAAATGCAAAACTACTGTACCATCCGTGGTCATTTTCCTTGACTGCCCAGATGTTGTGGTTAACCTAAATCCGGCGGGTAATGTTTCTGAGGACCCAGGCATCATGCTGATACCATGTACTTCACGGGGAGGAAACTGCCTTCTCCAGGTCGACCCACGCCTGAAATTCTTGTCATCACTCTGCCAGTACAGAGTTAGAAACATGTAACATTGATTGGTTACATTCAGTCTATAAAGTATACATATAGAGTATCATGCTTTATTTTGAGACTTCTATTGATTCAAAAATGAAAATGCAGGGTTTGAAACAATTTTTATTTTTTTTTATAAAAAGGGTTTCATATGATTTCAAATCTAAGGTTTGCCTTCTATAAAAGGAAATATGTTTGAAAACCTAAAATAAAACCCTTGAATAACTACTGAATAACAATTAAAACTATTTCATGAATTTTGCTTTTATCTATACAAGGTATTAATACATGTTATAAGAAATCTGTATTTTATCTAGCCTGGCTCATACAGGATACTATAGCATATATTCTGTGTGAGAAACTAAAATTGTTTGATTTTATCTCATAGAGAATTAACTTGTAACATGTTGAAAAACCTGTGCAGTCTGGACTCCATCTTTTTGATAAATACATGTGTCTTTTAGCTGTCACTAAAAACATAATGTAACTCTGATTGCTGTTTTATAAATGTAATTCTGGTTACTGATTCTATTCTATATTAATGATATAATTTTTTCCCTCTCTGTGCTTATAAAAAGTACCTGTACAGATATTGTTACTGTCTCTAAATTGGTAAGCAGTAATATGTAATACAGCACTTATTAGTATAGCAACAGTGTTCTTTGTACCTAATTCTAAGGAAAGTATTCATCATTCCACATAGATCTTATCAGTTTTTTAGATGAAGATTATTTTATTACAAAATAATTCTGAATAGATGTAAGTATGAAATGTGAGAAATTAAATATATCATTCAGGAAGAATATTGGGTGCCTTCATTTAACTAAATTAAATGTAAAAGTCAATGTGCACTTCTTTATAAATAATATTCTTATTTAGAATTATGAATTATGAAAACCTTGATATTGTAAGTTTATATTTCACGTGTCCTGAAGAGGTCACTGGACTCTACATTGAGTTGTTTTTAAATACGATACTTTCTAACACTGAATGTTATCTCTTTTTTCTTTTTACTGCAATTTAGTATTTCTATTTGGAACAAATAATCCTGGAAAACATTCAGAATAAATTTTGTATGTGTTATGTCACAAATTACAATGAAAAATAAATTACTGTCAAACAATTTAATACATCTTTTTTACAGAGTTTGTTCATTGAAGAACTTCTGATATCAGTAATCTTCACAATTCCACACTTACCTTTTAACATTCAGGGACTTGGAATTATCATAAGAAATGCTAGAAGCTTAGAAAGATGCTTATGCATTTTATTTCATTTTCATGATATCGAAATTTCAAAATAATTATTCAGTACTTTGAATGTAAATTGCCCCAGATCTTAAAGGAAAAACACAGTCACATTTGAAACCAGAATGTAATCTGTGGGAAAACTATAAGGACTTAGTGATTCCTCTTCCATTCTGAGCTTTCAAAAGTGACTGTCACAATGAAAGAAAGTAGGAACCAACTGTTTTAGAAATAATAAAAATGGTCAGAAGTTCTAGAACCTAAGACACCTGGGCATAAAAAAAAATAAATCATTGCTACCAGTATGAAATGTTAATAACCATCAAGTCCACGCCTATATATACAAAGGGTGCCAGAAAAACGTATACAACATTTTAAGAAAGGAAAACTATTAAAATTATAATATTATATACCAATGACAGAAGATGAATACAAGTCACATTTGACTTCTGCAATTACAAGAGGTGCTCAAAGAGGTTACCATCAGTGTCCAGACACTTCTGATTACGGCAAACTACTGCTTGAACAACATTGACCAAAGTGTCCACCTGTATACATTTTTTTGGCACCCCCGGTACATAAGAAACAAAGCAGTTTCTTTTACTACTTCTTAACAAATTGTAAGTATCTTTTTGAACAGTCATACATTCTAAATAGGCATATGGATTTCTTATGATAAAAAGCTGAATTTCTCCTTTTAATTTGAAGCAGGGTAAGTTAGCTGGGGAAAAATCAGCACATAACATTTAAAATTGAAGTCATAAAATAGAATGGAATATATTATTGTAGAATGTCTCTCTTCTGAGATGACAAGATACATGACTTTTCAAAAATCACAAATTTGAAGGAGAACTTAGTTGCTGACTTCAACTATAACCTGGAACTGGCAACTTGTGCCCCTGCTTTGCTTCAAAAAAAAAGTATAAGAAAGGGTCATGAGATCAACATTTGCCATTTTTGGATCTTCAGCAACTTCAAGATCAATATAGAAAAACACTGGCATATCTACTTCCTCTTGTGAACTAAGCCTTTGCTCTTCACAACAGAAGCAACATACGAGTATTTCTGTTGGCTGAAGTCTCAAGTTCCACTGGAGACTTTCAAGCCCATCTGTATTTGAGGTGACTAATGATGCAATCCTGAACAGGCACCGTGTTTTCAATCTTGTCTGATGCATGACCTGCTACTACTGATCCTCCAAGGCCAGTATCTGGCAATAGAGCTGACAAAGGGGCACAGTGGCCTAGGACGCCTCCAGTATGCCCACGGTGGCCACGGCCATGTAAGGGAGGATGGTCTTGTGCCACCGCCACCATCAGCTCACATTATCACTGCTATAAATAAGTAACACTATAGGGGATTCTTCATTATAGCCTGCTAATTTAAATAAGTAACATTCAAGATCAATCTGGGAAAAGTATAATCATTTACATAATTACATCTGTACACTGTTCTTTTAGATTCTTTATTATCACTATCTGAATTTTGTTGAGATTTGGTAGACATTTTGCAGTTTACAAAATGTCTACTACTCTTCTTCTCAACTATTGAGGTTTACGCGGCCCTAGGTCTCCAAATGTTTATCAATGCAGAAACAAAGCAGGATTTCACAATTGTGGCCTCTCTGACTCCTTGAATTTTGGAGCATTTGTGGCATAAACATAAATATTCTTTAGTTCATTACTTTACACTATAGGAATATACAATTCCTATAAGGTATGAGTTAAGGGCTCAAAAGCAAGGCAGTACGAAGAGAATTTAAATCATGATTCCTTCTGCATCAGTGTTACTGCAGAAAGTTAATGGGAACTATAAAGCAGCAACATCATGGGGAAAACTTTCCATGAGGTGAGGTTAACAGATATCCTCTTCACTGAAGTAAAAGTCTGGATAAACACATGAACATTTCTCATATATTTCAGTGGAATCTGAATGTGATCAGCCCCCAAAACAAGTCCACTCTGGGCAGGTTGCTTAGCTATTTTTGTTCATGCTCAAAAAACAAAAGCAAAGAAATAAAAAAATTAGGACAAAGGAGAGTAGAGGGTTGGAATGATAAAATAATTTGCTGTGTTTTTAATGATAAGTAAATAAGACAGCATATTTTAAAGGCAGATAGTCACATCCGATTTAGACCCTTCTGCTGTTTTTTACTTTCAGGAAGCAACACTAACTCACAGAGGCTTGCATCTCCACCTGGATAGCTCCTTTGGATCAATTTGCATTTTAGAGTGTAGCAATGTGACAGATTGTTAATAATTTTTATTAAAATTCCTTTTGCAACTTTTAAGTAAGGAGAATATTTGATTCAAAAGTGTGTATGGGTTTATGTAGACTACCTTTTTGATTCAGCTATTAAGGATAAAGATTAAAAAGATTATCAAACAAGTTATAAAATTAAAATCAGTTAAATAGTGACTGTAGTTTTTAAAAATATTAACCATTATCCTGATTGGACAGGAGTATGAGTTCATAGGAAGTTAGCTGAGGTCAAGACTTAGCGCTTATCTGTGATAGTATCCTCCACAAAGGACAGCTTGGGTTTCATAATATTATACTAAGATCACCTGCTGGGCCCATCTGAATGTGGGGTTATTGCCTCATTTTAGGATTTGCTAGGTTCATTTACAAAACTATTTTAATCAACTTCTTTATTGCCAAGGAACACCTGCATCTTGCAAGACAAAATTATGCATCTCTGTATTTTCCACTTCATACTCAGGTTTCCTTTCTACTTCTTCCAAAAAGACCCTGTAAAAACCTCAGAAGGACTGTTACAAAATCCAATGTCTATTCAGGCACAGAGTTTCTAATGTCCTTGGATCTCTTCATCTCAGGAGGCTACGTACATGTTTATTAATGTCCCAGCCACTTAAACATGCATATATTAGGTACAGGGCTTCTTACATTCAGGAAAGCTTCCAAACCCTATGACTGTTAAAATGTTATGCATGTTTCTAAGGAAAACTCAATATTGCTATCTAAAATAATGAAAAGTTCCCATTTATTGAAAGCAAGTTTCCTCTTCATTTTAATATCCTAAAACTTCCTGTGAAGATATACTGATATTTAAGAAATAAGAACATTCCTTATTAAAAAGAGGAATTTATCAGGATTACTGTTATCATAGCTTGTAATTTAAAAATGCGCTCAATATCATTTTTGCATTCACAGCTCATGAAAAAAGCCTGTGTTCAAATTACTTCTTAGTGTTACCAACTGGTGATACGATAATATTTATGAACTCGTAAAGTTATTTCAAAAATCAAATGAGTAATACAATTTAATATTTAAGAACAGTACCGGGGGAAATGCTAGATTGTATCAAGAGAATAAGCATCTGATTAACTTTTGAGCACTATTTCTTGAGAGCCATTTTCCTTGTACTCTAAGGCCTTTCTGAGTGATGCTGACAGGGACTTACTTCGTCCAGTCGCCGTTCAGTTCCCAGAGCCAGAAGGTTATTGTATTCCCTTTCAAGGATCTGCCGAGCCTGTTGACATCAAATAACAGTCACCATCGCTGAAGCCATATTTAATTTAAAAGAAACAAAAAACAAAGCATAGCAATTATATTTATCTGACAAAACATTACAAACCCAGTTTTATTTATGGGGTCTTAAGATTAGTCCTCCATATCTCCAAGCCATTGTAGGTTTAGCTATAAATTCAAGGTAGGACACTTTTCTTTTGTCCGCGGACGGCAGAGAAATAGCCTCCCATAAATGTCAGAGGTCAGGGCTTGGACCTCCTTTTCCTACTTTATTTAAGTTGAATATTTTCTATAAACTTTGAAATAAACAAAATAAAAAGTGAAGTTAGACTGCCTATCCAGTTGGTTCTCAAGCCTGGTCAATGGTTACCATTTGGGGAAGCTTTAGATAATTAGGATTCTTGGGCCCTACCTCCTGGTGCCCGATTTCTTAGGCCTGTGATGTAGACTGCAGGTTTTATTTTAAAATTTTAAGGGACTCTGGTGATTCAAACAATTATCCAGATTTGGGAATCAATGGCTTCCCCAGGGCTCAGCGTCTATATAATTCAGACAGGTAAACAGAAACGACTGCCTCTCAGAGAGGCAGAAACTGAGGGCCATCTGTCAGGATATTGTTTTGGGGAATCTGGCATTCAGGTGGTAGGTTGGACCGCATAACCTCTAAATCCCTTCCTGCTTAATTATATGACTTTATTTTGGCTAGAAATCCAGGAGCTTGGAATTAAAGCCCCAGCGACATATTTCAAAGTTTGAACTAACTCTCATTAGGAATCGTGAACACACAACTTTTTTTTTTCCGCTAAAAGTTTAGCTTGTCATTACATAAACTAGGACACGGTGCAGCTACAGCACAGAGGGGCTTGCCTGGGTGTTCTGTGTTGGGATCTGCAGTAACAAAGCTAAACTGCTGTAGTCAAAGTTCTCATCCAGGGCTATCAGGGAGCCATGCACTCCGCTCTCAAGGATGTTATTTGCATATTCTCGAAGTCCAATTGCTTGGATCCAGCGAATAACTCGGTCATTGCTCCACACCAACACATCTAGAAAAAAGGCACATCATTTTAGGCTGCAGAATTTTGCATAATAAACAAAACCACTGGCTGAAAGGAGCCATGGGCACGCATCCGGCTAGGTCAGCACTTAGTTAATTTCTTTATCCCCTCCTCAATGCACCTGCCCCCCGTGTAGTGAATGTTCTAATAACTAACCTTTTCTATTTTTAGCTTAGAAAAACGTTGTCATTTTAAGTGTTTGTTATCACTGAAATGGAAGTACTCCCAGTACATGGAACACAATGTCTCAAAGTGTTTCTTGTTTTCATGCTAAAGCTCTAGGGGTCGGCCTGAAGTTCAATTTTTTGGCCACCAGATGGGGTCAGTTCTTATTTGTGTCTTTATACACAATAAAGCAAAAACGAGAATCTAATAAAGGTTTTCATCAATGTTTTTAATGACTATTTAAATGCTGCATATAAACTAGAAGAGGCTTTTCACCCAAAGCAATAAATCAGAGACCATAACAGTAAGACAGAAAAGGACTAAATAGTGGATACTTCCCTAATATTTTGTCAATTCATTATTTTTAATCACATACTAATGTAACAATCAAGCACTCAAGTCAAGTCACAAGTTGTTTTCCCCTTTAAATTGAAAAGCAGTATTTTATTGAGGCTCAAAAAACGGTGAACTTTATTTTCTGAAACTAAAACTTTTAGAGAAAAGTATCATATATGTCTTTCTAAGACCAAAACATATCAAAGTGTATTTTAACATTTTTTTCCATCTCTTTCCATCATGAGTTGATGGGATACTACATAACAACCAATAAAATAGTCAAAAGGGCCAGAATATTCCATAGAAAGGAATAATTTTAAGGAAACTAAGGGGAAATTAGAAAAAAATTAAAACATTTTTTTCCAATCCTATAGAAAGGGAAATGAAACTCATAATTTACTTTTACAGTAAGTTTCTCTATTATTTGTTTTTCTGAATGAATGAAATTTATACCTTTTTCAGAAAAAGTATAAAAAATACTTTGGGAAATATTCTTCGGCTCCAACTGTTTATTTTTTCTCATTTAAATTATTTGCAAAACTCAGGGTAGTATTTTATTTTTGGGGGGGAAGAGTATTTATACATTAAGTTTTGCAAAACCATTACTAATTTGTCCTAATGCATTAATTTATAACTAAGTTAGGTTTTCTTGTTATAATGCTATAAAACAATAAAGTGATGCTTCAACCCCACAGAAGTCCTTTCTCAGTCACTATCTTCACCCCAGCAATAATGAATATAATGACTATTCTCACGACAGATTTTTCTATGAAAAACAGCAGGCTTTTCATTGCTATTTAGTATTCCATTATTTCATTATGCTACAATTTAGCCGTTCTACTGTTGATGGACATTTGGGTGGATTCCACTGTGGGTTATCATAAGGACAGTGCTGCCTTGAACGTAAGTATTGCTGTTGAGTAAATAACAAAGAATAGAATCAGTAAGTCATGTTTTATACATACATTTAATATTAGCAGATATTGCTAAATAAATTCCACTCTCACAATTTAAACCTCCAGTAGCAGTGTATGAAAAGTTGCATTTTTACCAAAACTTTGTAATTTTCATTTGTTTTGTTTTACTTGCTAATTTTTAGCCATTACGATAAATTCGTGTCATTACAGGTTGAATTGTGTCCCCGCAAAATCCATATGCTGAAGTCCTAATTCCAGTACCTCAGATTGTACTCTCATTTGGAGATACAGTTTTTATAAAACTAATCAAGTTAAACTGAAATTATTAGAATGGGTCCTAATCGAGTATGACTGGTTTCCCTCTTAAAAGGGGAAATTTGGAAATAAGATATGTACAGCAGGGGGACGCCATGTGAAGATGAGAGCTGAGATGCTGGTGCCTCGCTATAATTCAAGGACCACCAGCAGAGGGCAGGGAAGAGGCGGGAACCTGATTTCTTCCTCATGGCCCAGAAGGAACTGGCGCTGCTGACGCCCTGACCTGGCCTCCAGAATTGTGACACAGTAGATTTCTGCCCTAGCAAACTATGCCTGTGCTATCTCATTGTAGTTTTGATCTGTAACTCCCTGATATCTACTCGTTAAGCAGTTTCATATATATTTATTCATATATATTTATTGGCCATTTGGAAATCCTCTTTTATGAAGTTCCTATAGTGTCTTTTGCCCATTTTTAAATGTCTGTCCTTTTCTTATTTACTTGTCAGAGTAATATCGGTATTTTTAATATGATTCCTTTGTTAATGCATTTTTGTATCGTGCGTAAGAAATATTTGCCCATTTCAAATGAATATGAAGGTATTTCTCTGTTAAACTTTAGAAGCTTTATTGTATTCCATTTCATTCGATTTTTTACTTTTCATATTTAAATCTATATTTCACTTTGAATTAATGTTCATACAGCAGGAGGCAGGGTGAACACTCCTTAAATAAAAATGTTAATATCCAATTGACTCAGCACTGTATATTGAAAAGATCACTACATTGTCACCTATGTCATAAATTTAGTGTTCATATAAGTTTGAGTCTGTTTTTAATATATATATATATTTTATATATATTTATATATATATATATATATATATATATATACACACTTTTTTTTTTAGCTGAGCCATCTACCTGTTGGCAGCTTAGCAGCAGCTCAGCTTGGGCCGTGAATCGAACCAGGGACTCTGTTGCTCAGAGCTTGCACTCGAGTGAGCTCTTAACCAACTGAGCCACTTGGCCAGCCTTTCAATATATATTTTAAAACCTGATATAGTTAATTTACAACTCCCCCCACCACCCAACTGGGTTTTTTATTAAGATTAAATTGAATACAAGAGGGAAAAGGGGGTCAAATATATGGTAATGAAAGGAGAACTGACTGGGTGGTGAACACACAGTACAATCTATAGATGATGTATTATAGAATTGTACACTTGAAACCTATATTTTACTAACCAATGTCACCCCAATAAATTTAATAATTAGGAAAGACTGCATTGAGTCCAGAGATTAATTTTAATGTTTTATTTAATTTCCCTCAATAACTTGCTTTAATTTCTGTATAGGAGTCTCATAAATCTTTCATTTGATTTGATGTTTGATTGTCCTATTATATTTGTTGTTACTATCTTGTATAGTAGAAATATAGTGAATTTTTCTATTGAAATTTTAAAGTAGCTTTATTTTAACAGTATTTTTAGTTCATAGCAAAAATGAGCAGAATGGGAAAAGTTCCTATATGCCCCATGGTCTCCATAAATGCACAGCCTCCCCGATTATAAAAATCCCTCACCAGAAGGGGACATTTGTTACAATCAATGAATCTGCATTGAGACCAAAGTTCACAATTAATACTGGGGTCCACTCTTGGTGTTGTACATTTTATGCGTTTTGACAAATGTATAATGGCATGGTTCCATCAGTACAGTATCACATAGAATATTTTCACTGCTCTAGAAATCTCCTGTGCTATGTCTATTCATACTTCTCTCCCCTCTAACTGCAGGCAACCACTGATCTTTTCACTGTCTCCATAGTTTTACCTTTTCCAGAATACCATATAGTTGGAATCATATAATGTACACTTTTATATTGGCTTATTTCAATTAGTAATATGCACTTAAGGTTCCTCTATGTCTTTTCATGGTTTGATAGCACATTTCTTTTTAGTCATATTAAATTTTTATCTATAGACCTTGCTAAATCACATATTAATTCAAATTGCATATAATTAGATAATTTAGATTTTTCTCTATAGCCTTTCTAATCTTTATATCTTTTTTAAAAAATTACTTTTCTTATTGAACTGATTAGACTTCTAGTTTAATCTTGAATAAAAGTGGTGGTAAAGCTCTCAATATAGTAATATTCGGTCAGATGTTTATACAATTTTAGTAGCTACTCATGATCAGATTAAAGAAATCCCTTGCTGTTTTGATTTGCTAAGGTATTGAATTTTAATAAATTTGCTTTCTTAGTTTCAGAAAACTTTGATGATATTTTCTTCTTTATGGTGTTAATTTGGTCAATTACATTGATCGAATTATCAAATGTTAACCTTAAAACTCCAGGAATTAAGCCACCCTTGTCATGAGGTATCGTCCTTTTACCTATTCCTGTATTCTGTTTGTCTGAATTATCCTTTTTTAGTGTCCTTATTAGTTATTGCTACCAAGGTTACGCTAGTCTCATAAAATGAGGGTGGAAGTATTTTCTTTTTCTAACCCCTGAAAGAATCTGTATGAGATTTGTGTTATTCTTTTCTTCGAATATTTGGAAGAATTCAATGATGAACTCATCCAGACATGACATTTTCTTCATGAGATTTTTTTAAATTGTGGGTTCGATTTATCTTTTCAAATATTGTTTCTTCCTTATTTTCTCTTACTTCTCTTTCTGGGACTCCAATTATATCTATACTAGACTCCTCAATACGTCCAATATGTCTCTAATGATCTGTTTTGTATCATTCATCCTGTTACTTCTTTCTATGTTTCAGGCCATATATTTTCAAGTGATTTGTCTTCTTTTCACAAATCTTCTCTTTTACTGTTAAACCACCTATCAAGTTCTTAATTTCAGGTTCAAACTTTCTGCTTCTTTAAAATTCCATTTGACCATTTTTAACATATTGATTCTAGCTATATATTAAATTTTTCTAATTTGTCACTTATTTTCTTAACAGATTAATCACAATTGTTTCAAAGTCCAAGACTTAAAAATGAAATGACTCAGGTTCACCTGTGGGTGTTTCTATTATTTTCTTCTTGGTTTTCCTCATTTTGCCCCAGTATTTTACACGCCTGATTTTTTTTTAATTGATTCCCAGACTTTATGATTGAAAATGTCTCCAGAGGAAAGTTGTGTACAATGCCAGCTTACTTATTTCCTTTTTCTCCAGGATCTTGGTTCCTCAAGGCCCGGCAGCTTTGGTGCTTCTAAATTACAATTTTCCTTCCCTTGCTCTGAGACAGGGAAAAGCAGTAGAAAATGACAGGCTTCCCTCAGCGCATTTCTCTTTTTTTCCAGGATCTTAGCCTTTAACGTCATAGGTGTCTCAGTTACTTTCTACTATCTTCAAACAACTGTTTATTGATTCACCTAGCCTTTTACATGTTCTTATTGAAGACTGGTCTGATTCAGTGTATTCCCTTATAGTCACAAGAAGTTTGTAGTCAGTAGTAGTTCCGCAGGTTAGCTTGTACCCTTTTTGTCTCTACCAATCCACAATGGTAAAACATTGGTATATTAACCTTGGAAGCTTTATCTGCTTCACATCTCTCTACTTAATCCCTATTGTGACTTGAACAATCTTATTTCAAAAAAAAGGTCCTAAGTCTCATTGGACTTAATGAGAAACATGTGAGGAAAGACTCAAAATGCCAACTTCCCAAAATCTTATTAATATTTCCTACTCCAGCCAAAGCAGAATGAATTTCTTTAGAAAGCAGGAAAATTTCTTTCTCTCTCTGTCTCTCTCTCTCTGTCTCTCTCTCTCATTTTGGATCTTTCTTTCTCTATGTCTTCAGCAAAGCATATGACTTCCATAATGATCTTTACTATATCTGGAAATTTTATATTATATATTCACTAGGTGTCCCTGGGTCGGACTTGAAGTATACATTTTCCTCTGAGTTTTCACTAGATTGTTCCATGGAGGTGTTAGACCTCAAAAAATAGGATTTAAGTTGGTTAGTATTATATCTGGATATATTAATCAGCTTCTGTTGATAGCAACTGATTACATTTTTTAATTTATTTTTTAAAAGATTTTATTGGGGAATTCGGGGAGGGAGCAGCATTGGGGAATTGGGGAAGGGGAACAGACAAGTTGCTGTCCTTTTGTTCTTCAATCTAGTTGTGGAGGACATAATTTCACTGGCTCATGTTGGTCTTGTGATGATTGCACTCTTCCCGGCTGAGGCAGATGGGTCACCGGCCATTGGATGGCTGCTCACAGCAGCTCCTGGCAGCTCACGCTGGCTGCCAGCTGCTCACAGTAGCTTATAGCAGCCCACTGCAGCACCACTGTAGCCTACGCTGTCGCCACAACTCATGGCAGCCCAGCTCCAGGTCGAGCTGTTGTTCACCATCTTAGCTGTAGAGGACGCAGAATCACTGGCTCTCATGTGGGATCTGAACCAGGGCCCTGCTGCTCAGAGCTGGCGTCCCAAGCCAACTCCTGACCAATGCGCCTTTTGGCTGGCCCTCAACTGATTATTTTTAACTCTTGGTTACAGCATACTTGCACTTCAAAAGTCGGGTAGGTAGGTATGGCTGACAGCAACAGTTATTTAGTTGTTTTCACTAAGTACAACATTTTTTTCAGAATGCTAACATATCTTTTTTTCTTCATTTTGTAAATAAGGTCTCTTTCTATAAATCTGTTTCAAGCAAAATTTATGCCCTGGCTTTAAAGCTATGTAGAGAGACCCTTGACCTAAACAATAAATGGCTAGAGATCAGTGTTGACTGTTTCCTAGCAACAAATGAAATGTTAGTACATTCTTGATATTTACATGGTCTGTTCACTTCAGAAAGCTGTTTATTAAGGTCAAGGTTAATTAACACTTCAGATAATAACAGAGACCCCTAGTCACAGTCAAGAGTTATTTCTGTAAATGTCATCAGATTAGTTATAGAAAATAAGGGCTATTTATGATCCCACTCACAGCTACTTAGCATATGGAGTTGTCTGTGTTTAAACATAGCGAATGATGGTAGCTTTTTCTCCGGGCTACACACTAACCAGCAACTGCCAAATACTAGTACAATATTTGATGGAGGGCCAAATAGATAATTCCTCTCTTTTATATCTATATATGACACATTCCATGTGGTAAAATTAAGCACGATGAAATCTAATTGGAAAAACTACTTCAGAAAGAAAACTAGAAAGTGGTATCCCACTGGAAAAATCTATTTGTGTGCTAAAACTTCTTTTGTTAGGTCAAGCACAGACTTCCTTCTGGGGTCTTTCTTTGGCCAATTAGTTTCCAAATTTCAATTGAACTGAACAGCAATGCACTGAAAACAACTTGTAATTTTTGGGGGCCCCGAATTAAAGTAAAATCAAACAGCTCAATTTTGATAATGGAAAAACACTTTCTTGCTCTTCAGTAATGAGTCAAATGAAGTATTATAAAAAATCCATGTCTATCTACTCTCCAATGAATCACATATAGAAAAATATTCTTAAGCAATCATCTTCATATGCATTCAAGCCCATTCTGCTAGAACTAATGTACTGTCCAAGAAATGCCAAAGATAAAAGTAATTTCTGACATTGTTTATCACAAATGAAAATTATAGAAGTCTAAGACAGATGATCTTAAAGAACAAAACAGGGCCGGCTGAGTGGCACGTTGGTTGAGTTGGCTTGGGACGCCAGCTCTGAGCAGCAGGGCCCCAGTTTGGATCCCACATGAGGGCCAGTGAACGCTGTGCCCTCTACAGCTAAGATGGTGAACAACAGCTCGACCTGGAGCTGGGCTGCCACGAGTCCCTGGCGACGGCGTAGGCTGCAGCGGGGCTGGCTGGAAGCTGGCATGTGCTTTCGTGAGCTACCATGAGCCTCCGTGAGCAGCGGACCAGTGGCCGGCAAGTGACTGCCTCACCCGGGAAGAGCGCAATGATCATACCAACATGGGCCAGTGAAGCGACGTCCTCCACAACTAGACTGAAGAACAAAAGGACAGCAACTTGTCTGTTTCCCTTCCCCGATTCCCCAACGCTGTTCCCCTCCCCCAATTCCCCAGTAAAATCTTTTTCTTAAAAAAAGAATAAAACAGTGTTAAGCTTAAACAAGGGGAAAGGGTAATATGTAATATATACTATTTTCATATCTAAAGTAAGACCCAAAGAAAGTGAAGCTGAAAACAGAGACATTAGCCTAACTTTGAACAATGACTGTACAGACATCTATTGACTTAGATGAAATGCTTCCCACATATCAATTGCTAGGAAACAGCAAACAGAAATGTAACTAAGTAGTTTATTTTGCTTGTATTCAAAATTTTCCTCAAAAATATTTGGTTATATTTCTCTTAATGAGCTCTTTTTTCCTTTAAAAAATATAAATGGACATTTAGAAATGGACAGATGATTTTTAGCAAAAAAATGCCGGCAGATACTTACATCTTATACACAACAATTAATTTTCTTTTAACAACAAGAAAAATAAAGTGGTCTCTAACAAGGATAGGCTCTAATTATTATTCTTTAATACAGTTCCTTCCCCTGTTTATTAAGGTACTTCTCAACATTTTGAGGGTTAATTATTAAATACAGTACTTTTATAATAAATCTGTAATAGGGAGTATCTTTTCTTATCATTCAAATCAAACATTTTTGTACACATAATAGTTTCAGCAGTTAGCAATGCTTCTAAAATCATTCCTAGCTAAAATTACCAATGGACTAGTATAATTTATAGGGGTAAAATCCCTATGTAACGTCTATATAAAATTCCTGTATAATTTCTATAGCTGTGTTATAAAAATAAAATTTCTGGGCATTGAAATAAACTCAAATGATATAGCCAAAGATGAACTACCAGAAATAAATTATGTACCATGTTTCTCTGAATCATGAGTGTGTTCTATTAAAAGTTCGACAAAAATATCTACATGGAGGCATCTTTAGAACAAAAAGAATGTATAATTAAAAGGTTCCGAGGAATAAATCTCAATGTAAAAAGTCAAGAATATACCCCAAATGAGATATTTATCTTGTAAAGTGATAATATTTTTTTCTGGATTTTAATCAGAAAAGTAATGAAAAAGAAATAATGATGACACTATTCTAGCCAGATATTTTCATTAATTAATGATCACTGTAACACATACAGCACTTTAGGTTCATAAAAGAGAAAGCTAAAAAAAAACAAACGAGAAAAAAGGCATTTGATATGAAAGAAAGACATATTACCTTTTATTTCATGTTGGCTTGCTTCTCGCCTTCTTTCTAGTTCTTTTCTGTCATAATTCAGCCTTTTTAAGCACATGATTCCATACTGTAAACTTGTTCTGTGATTTTATTTTAAAGAAAAAAAAACACATTGAATTTAATCAGCAGGTAAAGAATGTTCTTTGATTAAGCATAGTCAACAGGTTAGTTCCTTATGCAATTAGGGCAACAGGTTCATAAATTACATTTGTAATTACATACTTTATTGTTGGAGGAAAATAAAATTATATTTATTCTAACTAAGCACACAGTGTTTTTAAAGAGTAAAAAAAGAAAAGAATTGCAAATTGAGAACAGCAAAGCCTTGAAAATAATCATGTATTATGTTGTTCATCCATATTCCTTTGTCTTTCATTAAGCTAGTCTGACATTATTTGCAGACAAATGAACATTTTATTCATCTGAAAAGAATTTAAAGGGGCCTTATAATGGAGACAGGAAGAAATGTATAAGAAATGGAAACTGTCTTTTAAAGATGATGAGAACAATAATATAAAAACATGAGTAGGTAGTAACATTGAGAAACAAATACCAAAATGAACAGCCACCAACTCTAAGAGATACAGAAGTATGTGAAAGGAACACATCGGCAGACATTGAAACTCTGGAAAGGATATTGTGGAAGAGAAGACAATTGACTGATCCTTAAAGAATCAGGTGCAAAGAAAGGGTTATTAAAGACAACGGAGCATCATGAATATGGGGTGCAGCTGAACGTTTAAATGTGTGGTGATGGTGAGACAAGCTCTCTAGTATTGAAATCCATGCTAGGACGTCAGGAGGAATACAATTACCTATACAGAGTGGAGTCATACTAAGGGAGCCTTGCATTCAGTGGAAGTGTGGAATACATCCAGGAGATAGAGAATTATTGGGCAATTTTCACAGGAGGACAGAAGACAACAAAAATGTTGGGTTTAGGAAACAATAATCTGATAGCAAAATAGGTGATAGGGAAAATAGGTGATCCTAGGAGACAGGAAATCAAGTAAGATGTCAATGCTGCCAAAATAATGGCCACAATAAGGACAACTGCCATGAGCATGCAAAGAAAATCCAGAAACGAGAGATGTTCAAAGAGAAGAAAGAAGAAGTCTTGGTGATATTATACATAAAGGATGTGGAAGAGTGTAATAGAAAAACAGACTCTCTAGGCTTCGACAGTAAAGATCATTGATCATTCGTGTTTAGAAATATACACAAATTTAGACACACACACTGGCCAGGTTATTCCTGAGCATTGGGTGTAATTCTAAGCCCAGAACTTTAATAAAGACAGTGTTGAACTCAAATATTTCAGAATCAGAGGAAAATGAAAAGAAGTCGGCTTTAAGTGGGTGTTGTGGGCTGAATTATATTTCCCCAAATTCATATGTTTTAATCTTAACATCCGGTACTTCAGAATGTGACTGTATTGGAAGGTAGGGTCTTAAAAAATATAGTTAAATGAAAATAAGGTCATTGGGGGGGGGGCCTTAATCCAGCCTGACTGGTGTCCTCATAAGAAGAGGGAACCTGGACAGACAGAAAGAAACCAGGGAAGTACACACACAGGAGAAAAAACAGCACAGGAAGGTGGCTATCTGCAAGCAGGAAGGAACCAGTCCTGCTGGCACCTTGATCTTGGATTTCATGATTCCAGAACTGTGAGAAAATAAATATCTGTTGTTTAAGCCACCCAGTCTATGGTATTTTGTGATGGCAGCCCCAGCAAACTAATTCAGTGGGATACCAGATAACGTGGCTCTCATAAACATCATAGACGTTAGGCATCTTGAGGTTAAATCAATGGCTCTTGGCAAATTTCTGCCAAGTTTTTGCATGTAATGTAAAATTGTGCTATGAAGAGGATATATGTCACCACAATACTGTCTGTCAGATGGAAAATGAGCAGTAAAGACAATGAGATGCAGTATGCAGTCAGGTACTCCCTGCTGTAAGTCAGAGCTAAACATAGAAGATGAAACTTGTGCCATTCCCAGAACCAGTAAGAACCCTGTTATTGGAGCAATTTTTATTTTTTAAAAAAGAAAACGTGATCATTTTAATAATCATTTCTACTATAATAATAAAGTATATAATAATAATATAATAATAAAGTATATAATAATGATATAATTCTAATTAAATAATAAAGTGAGTGACATTATATTTAGAAGAATTGGATAAAGCATAAGTGTGTCAAAAATTCTAGAATTCGAAAGTCTAATTCAATCACACAAAAATTGAGGGCCTAAATATTTAGTGACAGGAAACTCACTACTTAACAATGTATATGCTATAAGGGCAATTCAGAGTGATACAAAGTTGTTTTTTCTATTGAACATAAATCCATCACCTTAGTATCCACACCTATTGAACTAGAAAAATACATGTTCAACAGAACAAATCTTATTCTTCCATGATGTAATTTTATTAAAACATAGGAAAACTTATTTGAAATCTTCCATATCCAAGCCAAATGCCTTTAATTTCTTCAACCTTTCCACCAGAGTTTTACCACTTTAATTTAAGTAACAGTTTAATATCCATAAATTAATAAATTTATTATCATCTCACCATATGGTATGACTATTATTATGCCTGCCAATAAATACAATCTACATATGCCCTGTCAAGCCATTAGCCAAAACTGAGTTATTTGTGGCAACTATAAATCATATCTCTTTTTCATTTGAACTGTTTTTAACCTATGGATTTCTCCATCTAGCATTTTAATAGTTTTAAAAAACGATGTTATATTTATCTCTACCAAATTTAATCCAACAGTGTCAATAACTGTATTAAGATTCAAAATTAACTCCATAAAGGGAATTGTAATAGATATGTATCCTATTGGGGGAAGTGGGGTGGCAGATTGGGGGAGGGGGGTTGTCACTTCAAGGGGTAAAAAGTATAACTATTGCATTGTGTTGTACAGCTGAAACTAATTCTAAAAAATGTGTATTTCATAATAAAAATAATTAAAAGAAAAAAGCTAACAAAATTTTTTAAACCTGCAACATCCAGAAAAAAATAATAAATAACTCCATAAATTTGATTAAAGAGCCTCAGTTACTATCTTTTGATCCCAAATTTATGTCATCATCATATCTGATTTTTATACCATTTTTATTGTAGTCCCTAATTAAATATTGGACAGGTTGTGACCTAAGTTTCCCAAGCCAAAATCATCTAATTTATATTTATTACTTTATCATCATAATCAACTACATGTGAAACAATCATAATCCAACTGGCTATTTTTCACATAACCTACAAAGATAGCAGGCTACAATATAAGATTTATGACATGGTATTATAACAAGCCTTTTTTCACACCCTAGATGGTAAACAAATTGAAAAAAGGAGTTGCATTTTATTCATCTGTGTACTTACAGCTGTCTCACAACCCATTCATTATGTTTTTTTTTGAAAATTAGTGTACAAATAAATACTCAAAGATTTATACAAAAAACAAGAACACAAAGTGTTTGTCAGAGCATTCTTTTTAAAATTTTTTCTACTATATGACTAAATTATATAATTTATACCCACTTATATTTATAGCATTGAAACTGACTTAATTTTATTCTTAATAAATAATTTTCTAATGTAAAACATATACAGATACAAATCACAAACATGAAGTTTCCTAAAAATATGAAAACAAACATTTATGCTGCATGATAATTTTATAAATGCATCGTATTATAAGCTTTGAGCACATAATATTCACACAGCTCTCTATTAGATAGCCCCTGCAGTATGCTGCAAGGAAATATTTTACCAAGTAAATGTACACGGGTGTTTCAAATAGCACATATTCTCTTTTTTTCTAGTAATACACATTATTTATTGTTTTACTTTAATTATTCTTTGGATAAAACCTACCGATGGAAACTATCCACCATTTTTAAATGGACACGGAGATCCTTTTTTGTTAGGTGATCTAACATTCTGGCATCTACCAAGCATTCCATAAAATAACTTCTGTATTGAGGTAACCCCAGGCTGGGAAGCCATTCATTTCCAATCCACTCGTGGTTCATATCTCCATATGCCAGGGTCTGTAGAAAAACCGGACACTAGAATTGTTTTATAGCAGTCAAGTTTCTTAGCCAATAGAATGAAATGGTAATTGGAGGATACTGCCTATTATTATAACTAATATTTAATTATTATGATATATGAAAACAAAGCATAAGTAATATTTAGCCTCTAAGATTTGATTTTCTTTGGTATACAGTGAAACTGTGTATATGTATTGAGGTACTTGCCTATAGAAAACGACTGTATTCACTTTGTAGTCTCAAAAGGAATTACATTATATACAAATACGCATTTTTAATAAGAAATTAGAATTAATGATATATACAAATGCAGAGCTTAAAGATTCTTTATATGGATGGGTGTGTTTAATTTATTTTATTTTAATATGTGAGCTAATACTCTATCATTTCCTTCACTGCTACCATTGCTATGGTGTAATGGCAAATTTTGATGTGAATGTAAAAACCTCAGTAAATGAATAAAGAAAGAAGGAACAAGGCTAGAGAGACAGAATGCTGAAGCTTTGTGTGGACACTGCTATTTAGTGAAGCATGCAGTCATATTCCATAGGGATCATTGGAAAATAGTAGGGCATGATCAAAACCTAAGAATGATAACATAATTCTTTAATATAGCAATACTAACTGATCTTACCAAATACTGTTTGTAATAGTCAAAATGAAAACCAGAATCAACCATCACCTCTAAAGCAATTTAAAAAAAGGATTATTACTCTACTAATTTTACAGTATTTGTCCTTATCAAATGACAAATTCACAATTGTAATTATAACAAATATTTCTCATGAAAATCGATGTGCTCCCCTTCTTTTGTGTGTTCTTAAAAATGATGACTTTCTTACCCAAATCAAAACCTAATGCAATCCTAATTTACTGAATGTTTAAATATAGGTCCTAGCAATAAATACCAAAATCCTCCTTATTGTCAAATGCTTGAATCACATTAACTATAACATCCATTACAGTCATGGGCCACCTAATGAAGGGGTAGTTCTGAGAAATGTATCCTTAAGCAATTTCATTGTTGTGTGACCATCATCGAGTGCACTTACACACACTTAGATGGTACAGCCGCCTACATACGTAGGCTTGTGATGTACCATGTTTATATGGGGTCTGTTATTGACTGAAACCTCATTATGAGGCACATGACTGTAATTCTTTCAGTTATACAACATGTGGAAATGCTGAAAATGCACGACTTCTTTGCAAACGTCCGTGTTTCTTCAAAGTACAGATGCTTGTCTTGTACTGCCATCTCAATAAATGGGAATAACTTCGGACTTGCAGTCATAATGCTGACAATGTCCCTACAACTCTAATCCTCACACGTTTTCCATTATACTTTAAAGGTATGTGATTCCAAATAACGCTTTTTTTTTTAATCCTCCCCATCTTATATCCAACTTGAATGATTCCTGATTAAATACATTCAGGGGTAATTTCGGAGAAATTTAAATTACAGTTCCTTCTTTTGAAGAAGACAGGAAATTTCTCTTTAAAAAGAGGTTAGATATGAAATGATAATCATCTTTTTTTGCAAATGAGGTGATTTAAAAAGACATATATAATGAAACGTGATAAGTTCAAATATACATATTAGCCTGATCTTAAGCTAAGTGAGGATTGAGGATATTATGGCATACAACAGTTTCTTATTTATATCCTCACAGCGTGCTGATGATGTTAATTCTTTTAAAACATATGAGTTTCCTACCTGGGCCCAACTTCCTTCCTCAGATTCCTTCTGTGTTAGCATCAGGGAAGGATTAATAAAGCAGATAAGTATAAATTAATCTCAAATGAATACAGTACAATTTTTCTAGCAGAAGCAAAATTACTATTGAAAATGTTAATTATGACATAGGCAGCTAAATACACAGATTCTTATTCAGATCCACAGTAATCAATTTAGCAGTTCAAGGGCAACTACATAGTTTCTAATTAATTCTAATTAAATACACACACATGACCTTTGAGATTTTTTTTTTATACACTTGACCTGGCAATTACAAACCTTTTTCTTTAATTCTTAAAAGTATGTAATTTTCCAAATGTAATGAGTTATAATAAACATTTCTGATCATATACATACAAATATACAACACACACATGTGTATAAATATTTTATGATCATAATATTTTATGATCTATGTATAGCCTACTATACACCTAGGCTATATGGTATAGCATGTGCACATGGGTCAGCGTTGCATACACACACGTACCCACACACATGTATGATGAAGATATCTTATATGAAGTATATTAATGAAGTGGAAAAAGTAATTGCATTCCTCTACAAAGCTTTGTGGTAATCAAATAGATTTCAACAACAGCCAACAACAAGCAAAACTAAAAAAGACAAAAACCAAACACAATAAGCTAAATCAGAAATGTAATTAGCATATGACACTGGCATTTTCATGCATCATAAACTAGATAACCAATTTTTCTAAAATAGGCATAAACCTGAAAGAGTATTACATTTTTAAAAAGTTAAGAATAAAATGCATGCCATGCCCAACTTTGTTACTTTAAATAAAAAGTGACTATAAATATATATATAATATATATATTTAGAAGTGGACAATTAGAATCAGAGTCACAAGAATTTCTTGAAGTCTGTATTTTGAATACCGAATGAACAGAACATTTTTTTGGAGAGGTAAGAGGGGTCAAGCTCTGTATCTGAGATGGTAAAGTACAAGAAACTAAGGCATTTTATTAAAAGTGAGTTTTCAATCTATAAACTTTTCTATTATGTGCTTAAGTGGGTTTGGTAATATGTATTACCTGTGAATGTGCCCAATAAGTGGTATTTGTTACCAATGTTGGAAAATGAATAAAAACTTGTTATTGATTATTGTTTGCATATGATAGACTTGGGATATTAACTACATTATGATAATCTAGCACTGTTTCCTTTAAAAATGTCCAAGTTACTATATCAAAATAAAATAAAACCATAATGAAAAATGTCAGTGATCATTGCATATCACTAATGTACACATACCCCGTTACTTCCATCTATCGTAGAAAAAATTTTCATCCAAATAGCAGCAAAATAACTTTTCTTCATGTTCAACAGAGCTGTAAAGACTAACCGTTTTCGCTGGAGCTGCAAGATTTTCCATTTCTTCATGGGTCACCCAAACGTTGCCTGACGGCTAGTGAGGAGGCCCAGAGGGAAACAGTGGGATCCAGGGAGGGCGGCAGCGGTAAAGAAGAAAGGCAGCACCACTGTGAGTTAACAGCACCAGACCAACGCGACAGTGCTCCTGCCTCTACAGCATGCACGAGAGACACAGCATGGCTGCTGGCTTGCTCAGAACTCCCTTTTCCTTCTACTTAAAGAGATTAAATAGAAAGAGGATGCTGTGATGCCCATGTGAGATGGATCGAAAATGATACTTCTCTGCTTATTCATTAGGAAAAAGGCTTCATCAAACTTTGCATTTCAAACGTAGGTGGCTATTAAATCTGCTTTTTTTTTTTGTAATCATGGAGAACAGATTAAATTGGATCTGTAGGAGAGCGTATATTTATTTTTTTCTCCAAAACACAAAGGCACAAGTGCTTTGTTACGTGGTTACCAATATTTGGTTCACAGGGTTTTGATTCTTCGATGTCCTTGGAAAGAGAAAATTGCTGTCAATACAAAGCTGAAAGCACTGTGATAACCTGTCTGGAAACCAATGTCAGCTTTCCCCAAATGTGTTCTTCCTTTTCCAATTCAGTAACTATGTTGTTTTCCTCTATTCTTACAGAAGAAAAAGAAGTGAAATCCTATTTTTGATTTAATAATATTTTTCAGGCTCACTGAATACTGCCAAAAATTACAAAACCTGTTTCCTAATTTTTTGTCAGTCTCCTATACCATTATAGAGAAAAACATGATGTAAAAGAAAAATGTTCCTCTAGGAGGCACTATTCTGACATCTCATTTACTTTCTAAATAAATTGGTTCATGATATTTGTTCTATACCCTTAACACTAAGGTACCATTTCTACACCAAAGTCCACCAAGTAACTTAAAGATCAGGCATATCGTTGATGGTAATGGCCGCTGGAAGCCACTTTTCATCATATTCCCCCATTTCGTAGGGAAATCTTTACAAACATTGCATGGTTTTCCAAGTACATTGATTCAACAGTTACAGTGGAATTTACATCCTATCTATTGCTTGTTACGTGCTCTGGAAGGGGTCTAGTTCTAGAGAATTGAAAGTAGAAAGTTGACACCCCAATATAAGTCACCACCATAATTCTCTGGCCTTGTCTACCATCCATATAAGTACCATGTTTGACTTTCCTTCTAGTATAAATAATATAATTTAAACAGTAACTACATATAAACTAAAATATTGAATATAATTCAATATAAGAGGCATTTCACACATAAGAGAATTACATACACAAATGAGTAAGAAAAGGGAGTGGAGTAGTGAACATTCATAATTATAAGTAAATCATATGGGAATAAAAATACCAAAAGATAGGCATCATATTTATGTATAGAATTCTCATTCTCCCACCACTTGGAAATTAGAGTAAATGTGAATATTTTTCCTATAAGATGAGACTGCACACACCTGTAAAATATATTTAGAATACAGGAGCCATCTGCCATTAAAAGTCCCTTCCCTCTACTCCCAGTTTCTGGGAATGATGCTCATTATGAACAGAAAATTGCATATGAATATATGAATCATTAAGTCGTTTGGAAGAAATTGCTTTCATTGACTTCGTGAGCAGTGTACAATGCTCAAAAGAACTCTGCACTCCTGTGTCACCTTCCCTTCATTCCCAGTGATCCCAGAGCTTTGCCTGAGGGTCTGCATGTTTTCAAAGTGAGCTTCAGTGAAGATTACCTGAGAGACACTCATTTAAGCCAATCTTGATTTACAATTTCTGTAGCCTCTACCTCGATTGTGAATCCAAATAATGAAGATTATTAGAAACTTGTATAAGAAACTTCGCATGAGAAACTGGACTAGTATTATCTCATCCTAGAATACATGCATCTATAGCCTCTTTCACAGGTCATCTTCAAGTATATATTTACTAGTCTATTACCATTTTCTGGGGTGGAAAAAGATGCTGGAA